CTAACCAAGATTCTTTAGATTGCTTCTAAGGAAAAGGTGGTGACAGATTCGGAGGGCTCCATCCATTTTCAGTCTAAAAGAAAACCACACTATTCTCAGTGAACACAGTGAACCAAAACCACCCGAATTAGACGACATACTGCGAAAAGGAGGGCAGAAGCAAAAGTACTTATGCGCAACAGCCCACGAACCAAAGGTACACCCATTCAGCATCATGAGGATGTCTAGCAAATAAAAAAAGTTAACCGACCTAGCAATCGAATGCTCATTTGCCCAGTACTTTAAAAGCAAACAAAAGGATCAGCGAACATATTATCCAAATGTCACTTGAGAGGACTTACTGGCGTACAAATGCATTCCAGTGAGGAGCGCACCAGGAAGAAGGTAGAGAGAAAACGAAATGTTGGTGGTGTTGGTGTCCCCTAGGGTGAATGTATCAGCCTCCATCATCTCAAGAACATGCAATCCGAAGGAGAGAATAAGACCATCGATGACGGCGGTGCAAAAGAAGGCGCTCAACAGAACCAGCCATGCCCATGAACTGCGACTAAGGTTGGCTATAATGAAGTATAAGACATAATAATGCCGCTGCCCTCTAATTTGGCCTACCATCCACCAAGGGTTCTGCTTTGTTTAAGGTAGTTGGGATTTGTGTCTAGGAAATTAAGTGTTTCAGAAGAAATGAACCTACTTCAGAATCCATTTAAAAACGCTAAATACGTTACTCCTTTAAGCAAAAGACTGGGTGTGGGAAGAGGTACGATCCACACTTCAGCATTAGAAGCTGAAACACAAAAGTACTTCATAAAGTAGACCCGTGAAAACGTGTTCTCATGCGCGGCGACGTTTGTGTGAATCAATATATAATGAGGTGTCGTAACGGAGAGTGCAAGATCATAACAGCTCAATAGGCATAGATGGTAAGATAATGCACAGCCCAAACTAAAATGTAGTCAAATGTTATTCGCGCAGGCTAACGTCGACGACGTACATGCAGCATAGCCAGTATGAGAAATATTTAAACAAGCAACAGCTTAGAATTTTTTCGCTATAGTTACAGAAGTCTGCAGACCTTTTCGACTATACATATCAAAGAATTTCTCGACCAACGTCCCAAATGATCCTCGTAAGAGTTATGGAAGCATGCCGCAGATCTGGACAACTAAAATGGAGGGCACGACCCACACCCGATAGTTTCCGAACCCCAGCCCTCAAAAAGGCGCACTCGATTGGGCAACTTTCATGAAACATTAAAACAGTCTCAGTTGTGACCTTAAAAATGGACCCAAATTTCGTAAATATAGAGCTATCAATTAAATTCCTTTTTAATTTTACTCATAGGCATTAAAAACAATGGTTTTTATTAACTAAAACCCCAAAAAGACATTTGCAAAATTATAAATAAAACATGTTGATTTAGTTCAACAAGACAAATTTTACGTTAAAAGCACTGCGCCTTACTATTAGTATTCATGATTAGCAATCAAAATATAATCAGAACTTTTAAGCACACTTTTATCATGGCACAAATATGTTGGCATTTGTGCGAATTCAAATATACTACCATAAAAGCCTTACTCAGAGAGCTATATGTAATTTATTCCAGCTTGTTTAAGTGAACTTATATAGGTGAGAGGCGGGGACCAATTGGAGGCGTGGGTCACGTGCGTGAAGTCGGCGAGGAGCCCCCCTCCGAGTGATATCTCCTACTCCTATCTCCATTCCCTAATTTTCCTAACAACGATGCCTAATAAATGGTCTACATCCAACTTCCTCTTAAAGTCTGAGAACCAGGGACCAGAGGGTAGGCAGGCAGTAACCACACTGTAAGGTGGTGCATATAATCCGGCCTCACATTTCGCTATTTGTCGCGCAATCGAGAAAAGTGAACAAATCTTAATTTTACAAAAAATCTTAACAACCTTTCCATAAAATGGGTATTACATTGGCTCTGAAAGCATGAGTTTGCAAAGAATTTAACATGTGCATGACAAAAAGGAACCCTGAACTGACTAACTACTTGTATTCACGTAATAAAGGTGCAAAATTGCTTTGGTAATGTCCGAAAGCCACTCCACCCAGCAAAAGTATAGCACCCGTCAAAAGCACCGCAGTGGAGTTGCAGACACTTCAGGAATAATATTGCGAGGGACCACCAGAAGTCTGCCCAAATATGTCAATTTGAATATCACGCAAGCCTACCTGGAGAAACTATCACTAGGGATATTATTCGAACGCAACATGTCCTTACTCTGGCATTCAGTCCACGAGGAGAGAGAAGAGAGCTGACACGACTACTGACTCGCCACTGACCGTCAACTTTCTGCGGCTTACCGAAGAAAAGTTGGCCTCCTCAGTCACGAAGGCACTTTGCACCTCTTGTACTGGCCTGCTGTCCATCTACGTCTCAAGGTGGGCTCCAACTTGCCATTGTCCGCATGAGTCCCACTCCTCACCTCACCTGCATTTTGCCTGTGAGGAATGCCTTTAGGCCGGCGGAATGGGACCGCGTCTGCTGCATCGACTTCAGAGAGGGTTCAAGTTGCACGAGCACAGAGGTAGTGCCGACCTTCGAAGTGAGGTGGGGTGCCAAATTAATCGTCCATAGGCAAGGAAGTGCAGAACGCTGAATGAATGAATGGGGTGTGAATCGCCTCAATTTCATAGCCCAGTCGGTAGGTCGGAGATCTGTAGTCAACATGTTGCACAACTACTACGTGATGCTGATGACAACCCCCTCTCTCGGCCACATAGGCGTAAAGAATGCCCAAAGGTCAGTTTCTATGCCCTTCACCTTGTCTTAAGCAGTCATGCTTCGCAATTTGCTATTGCCATTGT